ACCTGGTACTGCTGTAATGACCAAGACAATGAGAGTTTGAATAGGAGTAATCATTATCTCCTCAGAGCTGCAGGGTTCTTGGTGTGTGTGTACCCTTTGTGTTATGTGTCTGTGTGTGCAAACTGCATGCATGTCCTTAACGCCGAGCTGTACACACACAATGACCTAGATAACAGAGGCAATCTGCTCTCCCCATCGTGCAGGGAGTCACTGATGGTCCAAAGCCGTGCTTCCATCGCTTATGGGCACTCAGGCAGACGCTGGCGCTCTGATACAGAAAATCAAAGCAATCAGACCATCAGCAAGAGCTGATGAGCTGGAAATGTTTGATTTGTGTGTTGTGCTTAAAGTATAAATCCACAGTGAATCACACAGCGCAGAAATCTGCTGCCCTGCTCTCCGTGGAACTTTCAAGCATTTTGGACTGCTGACTGAAGAGTGACGATCAGTTAGATGTAAATACTACACAGGATAATCTGTGGATGATTATGAGGACATTCATGTAGAAAATTTAAGAATGCAAAGACACTGCAGGACTGTAATTGGGTTCGTGAGACATAATAGTTGGATACAGTTTGATTGCCAGATATGGGCTCATTAAGGGAGATCTCACTGAACAACGTACAGAGTAATTCTTCCCTGTACCATTTGTTTACACTGATGGTGTACCAGTATGACTGTAAGAAAGATCTTTCTAAAACTCAAAGATTGAAGTTTTTCTAAAGACGAAAAGTAAATTACCTTTTTTTGTTTCTAACTTAAATCATAAAAGTTTGAGTTTGATATAAAACAACAGTGAAGACAGTTGCCTTTAAATTAAGTTTCCTCAACTTTATTTACTGTACATATTGTGAGCTAATTTATAATGTAGGTAAGGAGACTTTCTTCTACAGCAATCAGCGACAAACATGGACCACTATTTGTGTAGCAGCAGTCCCTTTTTTAGAGATCGGTTCTCCTGCACAGCTCTGAGAAGAGCAGGTCATCTTATTGTTATATTAGTCATTGTGACTGTATTTTTTTGTCCTTGCTTTTTTCTGAAAAAATGTCCCCCCGCCCCCAGGGACAATACACATTGTTTCAAATCACTTTAAATTAATCAGCTAAAGTGTGATTTTCATGGGCGGCAGTAGCTCAGTCTGTTGGGACTTGAGTCGCTGGTTCATGTTCAGCACAGTATGGAGCAGCTGGCAGCTGGAGAGGTGCCAGTCCACATCCTGTGCACCATCTCTCCAAATTTACAAGTCTAATGGCCTTCCTGTGCCTGATTGTATTTCAGACCTGTGTGTGTAAAGTAATAGTGAAAAAAGAATTTCCCCATTGGGGATTAATAAAGTATATCTTCCTCTTCATCACTTCATTCATTCCATTGGTCAGATGGCAACGGCTCCAGTAGCTCCTTCAAACTTGCCACCATTTTGTTTGAATCTGTTATTTCTGAAATTTTATTGCTGAAAACATTGCTGAATGGTGTCTGATTGGATTTGATCTTAAGGGCTAAGCAAAACCAAAATTGGTCTAATCGACCGGATCAGGCAATGCTGTGACCGGTTGGCTAACTCCCTCAAACTGCTCAATTTTTAATCTGTTTTCAGCTTTATTGCTTAAACACATATTACGTATTATTAAAAAGAAGCTTGCTGTTTGGATTAAAGAACAGCAGACTTTGAGACCATTCCACCAGTCAGATCAACCAGATGGGACCAGCCCACCACAGTGGGTGCTGTCAGCCCAAGAGGAAAGGTAGAGAGATGGATAAGAGCCATGCTGGCCCAGTTTGGACTGGCTAATGTCCGGTCTGGACAAATTCAAAAGATGACTTGCACAATTGTTCCCTGGGTATATACCTTTATGTGTATGTGAATAACTATATATATTTCCTATTTTGTATGTTATTTTTACATTTCATTTTCTTTTTATGTGCATAAGAAACTGCAAACCTTAATTTTGTTGTACAACCTTGTGTAATGTAAAATACATTTCCTAGATTCCTTGATTGATTGGTGCTAGATTATCCATTAAAGCAACAATAAAACTCAACATACAACATATAAAATTAGAACAGGAGAAATCAGGTGAAAATATGAATCTAAACAGGATGAAAAGCTTAGAAGAAGAGTAAGGCAAGCAACAAGCAAAGTAGGACATGCACCAAGGAAGTTGTTGTGTCTTAAAACATAGTCTAGCCCAGAAATCTTTAGATTTTTACCCATAATTGCATCATTTTGAAGTTATTTTAGAGTAAAATGAAAGAAATATATACATTGTGACACACTGTGCTGCATAGGCTGGCTTTCACAACATGAAATCAAAGTAAATACAATGGTTGCAATCTGAGTTCTCATTGAACATCATTATTATTTTATTTGCAGCTGTTATATGCTAGATTATATGCTGCCAATGCTTTGTTCAATTTTGAGAATTTACCAACCCTGTTTGCATAGCTTCTGCTTCAATAGCTTGTTTGTGTGATTCCAATAAGGACAGGAAGTGAAAAGCAGAATGGATGAGATGGAGGAGGGTCTGTGTTGTGCTATTTCAAACGATAATAGAGAGGAAGGTACAAAATCACAACATATGTTGGACATCATTCAAAGAAGCAATTTTTCAACTGAATTGAAGGACTTTTCAACAGGGAACTTACATTGTTATATGGCTCTGTCCAAAGCCATCAGACTTCTTTGACAAAAACAATAATTTTACCTCGCAGAACACAGGAGTTGCTGGTTACTGCTGCCTCAATCTGTTAGTTTGTTGTTGGTACTGTGTGACTTTTACATGTTAATACGGATTTAACTTAACGTTAGTTGTTGCGGATCGAGGCAGCAATAGATGGATATAACGGAAAGGGCTGTCTGACAGCAAAGTAAAGTGGTGGAAATATTCTAAAGATAGCATACACATAAACTGGTATAGAAATTAAAATAAACATCTTCCAGTGTTTTTGCATCAATTTCTTTAATTTTTCCCCCTTATAAACAACAACTGCACAAACAACAATGCATTTTGAGAGTTTGTGATAATGCTTCCAGTGTAGAAAACTAGAAGACAGCGACATGACGTCATGTGCTAACAAGCTGACAGATTTGAACTGTGACAAAGTGTGTTAACTCTGGGTCTTATCTGACACTCTCCTTCACCTCTCCAGTAGCTCTTTTGGTGTCTCATCTGTCTGTCGCACTTCTCATCTCCTCTGCTCTCTCCCCCTATTCCTTTCTCCTCTCTCTTGTCTTGTTCATTAAAACCTCACCAGCCTGAGCTAGAAGTTGAGGCAGTGGCACCCTCACCTGCTGCTACAGCACCAGGAGATAACTCTTCCTCCAACTCCTCTAACACCTCCTTTTGCTTTCTGAAAAAACTTCTTATATTCATAGCCTTCAAGTCTTACCTTAGCAAAATAGCCACCTAGTTACCCACTAGATGCCAACAATGGACAAACCAGTATAACCTGTTGCACCCCTCTCTATGATATGGGTTGGTGCCAAGCCGTGTGAAGTATAAATGACACAAAAAGGACCCAAATGCATTTTTGATCAACAATGTCTTTCTTCATGATTAATGCATGACTGGAAAGACAGATTAATCTACTAGGGGCTATTAAAAAACAACACCACTGACGTACAACGAAGACAGAAAGAAAGCTAAACTATTGATAGCATACAAAGCAAGCCACCACTGACTATGATCCCAGGTTAAAAAGTTTTATTAATACATGCAAAGCAACAGTAAGAGTTACTAGAAAATTTTGTAACATATTAACAATTTGGCCATTGCTTTTCTGTAACTTATAGGGGAAAAAAGCAATTTGACCTCCAATATCTAACTCCTTTTGGTGATCACAGTTTAAACAAAGTGTGAAATCACTTACAGAACTTTCTAGTTCAAGGTTAAGGTTTGCCTTTTAAAACACATACAACCATACAACCAAACCTACACTTAGATTTTCGCAGATTTTGATAGCAACTGAAATCTGAAAAGTGAAAGCTGAATAAAAACTGAGAAATGTCCTGGGATTTCACCTCCTCCCCTTGCTATGTATAACTATCTGTGGCCGGTGGGTCAACAGCTGAACCAGCTGTTTTTTAAATGGATGTTGCAGCATTCCGTGTGCAAAAGCAGTTTAGGCTGAATATGATTTGCATAAATATATCACTCACATTCTCAAACTTACAGAAAAGAAAAAAAATATATATTTGGAAGAGGAAACTGGGATTGGGAAACGCTAACTCAGTTTGACTTCCTGCATAATCTGACTTGGCAGCCATGTCAAACCGAAAAAATAGAATTACTCCAACGTGGGATTTTACTTGGCTCTAATGCCATTATCTGAGTAACATCCAGTACCTTTATACAGTCCTTCAAAAATATGATTTTGCTCCTGTTTTCATAAATCCAATCCAATTTTTCAAACAATTTCCTGTTAGCTTAGCTACATCCATATGCCTATTCTCTTTATTTCTGAAAGTGAAATGAAAAGCTATATCACGATGATATTTAAATATGAGGCAAGAGCCAGGAGGCAATTAACTTAGCTTAGCATAAAGACTGGAAACATGTGGCAACAGCTAGCCTGTCTCTGTCTAAAGCTCTAAAGCTCACTAACGGACACAGTATCTCATTTGTTTGATTTATACAAAAATTGTGCTTTTACAGGAAGTCCGTCTTTTGGACTTTCCCATGATGTCCATCTTTTATATGTTGATGGTCTTGACCCATCAGTCTACTGCTGTCACCATGTTCAGTTTAAGTAGTGGATTTTTTGAGTATAATGTTAATATTACTGATAGAAATGATGGACAAAACTATGACAAGAAAACCCAAGTTGTAATAAACTGGAATTAAGTTTTATACAGCTACGTAAAGGTAGTGCCTACAACTGTAAGCAGCAGCAACATTTCAATAAAAGCTTTTAAAATGTCAACTAATGAAAAAACCACTATAAATAAAAGTATTTTTCATTTGACCTGCAGTATATACAGTGAGAGCAAAGAGTGACTCACAGCCAGGTAGAGTGCAGCATAGACACTGAGTGCTGCTTCCTTGGACGGGAATGTCTTGCGGGCACGCATGATATCATCCTGGTTCCCTGTGCAGGCCTCCTGGTGGCTGATGTAGCGCAGGGCCTGCTGGCAGCCCAGCGCTGTGTAGTTTGGCTTACAGACCGTCAGGAAGTAGGGTGCCAGGTTCCCTGTCACAACCTGGCCCGCGTTGACAAAGATGTCCACGGTGAAGAGGCCAAAGGTGTAGACTCCTGGGAAGAAAAATGAAAATGTTAAGAGGGAGGACACATGGGACAGATGGATCTACCACCAGCAAGAACGCTGTTGGTGCAGAGACTGAAAAAGTGGAGCTAATTAAAAATACTGTGATCCATCAGCCTCCAGACAAACTAATATGATAGCAATAAGAGTTTTGTCAGTCTTAGCCATAGAACGTGTTTTGGAGGACCTAAAACATCTTCCAACATCTTTATTTGAGAAAGCAGATTGGATTGCAGAGCTTTAGAAAGACAAAAACACAGAACGGCAATGATCAGATCTTACAGCAGAGAGTGAGTATGTGACTGATAAACAACTAGCTACACAAATGTATCAAGGTTAATTTATTTGTCACTTTAGTTGCACAATAACAAAAGAGAGTTTGTACAGCATGTGCAATGTCAGTGTAAGGTTTCATGTCATTTATTTAGGGTGGAGTGCGGAGGAATAGTTGAGGAGTCCTACAGCCTAAGAGAAGAAGCTGTGTTTAAGTCTGGTGGTACGGCAGCGGATACTTCTGTATTTCTTGCCAGACATCAGCAGGCAGAAAAGGCTGTGGCTGGGGAGGGTCCTGTCTTTCAGTATCCTTTGGGCTCTATGCAGGCACCTCCTCTCACCAATATCACTAATGCTTGGAAGTGTAGGCGGTTTTAATCAGCTGCTGCAGAGTCTTCCTGTCCTTGGCCATGCACATTGCATGCCAGTTTGTGATGTTACCAGTCAGGATGCTTTTTGTTCCTCCTCTGTAAAAGTTGACAAGAATTTTGGAATTTTTAGAGATGTTGAGGAGGCGTTTTTGCAATAGGTGGTGACACAGGAACCCCAAGATCCTGGCTAAAATATGAAGCTCATAGGTTCAAAAGGGCTCAAAACTTGATTATTTACAGTCAAATAATTCATGATGCAGTTTTATGGCTATATATTTGGACTGGTAAATTTGTGCAGTTTACCTGCTATGGGCAGATTAATTTTGGAGCCTGGTTTCCTCCGTTCAAATATATCTTGTGTTCTAAAGTTGATATAGCTGCACTACCCTTAATAAAAAGCATCTTGCATTCAGTAATGTTCTGTCTCTGTCAGTAAAGTTATCTGACGTTCAGAGAAATTCAGAAGAAGAGGCAGCATAACAGCTCTTTCTCACAAAATCATATTAAGGTCCTTTCAGAGGGGTTGCAGCTGCTTCAAAGTTGGTGTTCTCTATTTTGAATCAGCAGGGTGTATCTCCATAATCAACTTAGGCAGCAGTGTCAAATAGAGAGCGGCAGCCATCGCCTCTCTCCTTGCCGCTGCCGCCGCTGACCTCGGTGCCACACCTGCTTTTTGTTTGAACATTGAAGGTAGATTCAGCAACCACTCACTGTCTTTAAAACCTTTATAGAGACTGCATGTCTGTGCATCCCAGATACCTCCCAGTCACAATGTTTGTTTACAATAACTTCTGTAGAAAATCACTGCATAGCCCACATACAATTTAATGGCAAGTGTATACATCTAATTCATCTTAAATGCATGTTTTATGCTTTCATATGTCATTAATAACACACTTTCACTAACTGAAGTTGGAATTGGGCCACAGACTAAAGAAAATGAGAGCTTAGGTTTACCCAGAACTAGCAGTTTACACCATATTCAGACCAAATCAGGTGTTGCTGCAAATAGCTGCAGTCTGCTGCAGCGGTGTGTGGGTGTTTATTTGTGCTTAGGCCTCTCCTCTTTCCTGTCTCTCTCTCTTTATCAAACCAAAGAAAACTTATAGTTATCACTATTTTGCAGCATAGAATGAAAGCCAGACCCAGTCGTCAAAACTGGGTACAGGAAACAAACCAAGCGATGAAGCTGGGAGGGTATCATAGTTTCATAGCTGGCAAAATGGATTCTTGCATGATTTTGTGATCTCACAAGTCTTACTGCCTTGCAAGGCTACAAGGCTGACAGGGATAACATTTCTATTATTTATACCACTGTAGACCTAAGGTTCAACTACTGGTAACAACATATCCAGGAAGAAAGAAAGTAAACATCTTTTCTACTGATAAAAGCCTTTTGTGCTATTATTTGCTCTTCTTTCAATAAAGAAATTGTCTCCAGTTCTGATAGAGCTGTCCACCCCCGTAGCTTCCAGTACTTCCTCAAAGAATACTGAATGGTCCGGTACTACCGTAGTTAGGCCACAAATGCATAATTTGAAGCCTTGCAAAATGGATTCTGGCATGATCTTGTGAGTCCACATCACACCCACATCAGGATCACCACTGTTTTTTCAGTGAGAATGATTCCCTCTAACTACAGACAAAACCTTTTTATCTCACAGCAGAGACCTGCTGCTTCTCACACTGCGTGACACTGCATAAAACAGGTCCACTGTCTACAGGGACACCTCAGTACCAGGAACACAATCCCCTGCTGCTCACCGATACCAAGAGTCACCCAGATGCCACCGTCCATTCATACTGCTCTTAACCAAACCAGCCCGGCTTTACGTCTTAGTGATTGAAGGGCGTTAACAGAAATAATTGCTTCCCTCCTACGAGAGCCCGGCCCTCTGTCACACTAAATTACCAAACAGGGGCTTAGTCAGACAACTCTTTCTCACACATATTGAGAGAGGTGTTCACCAAATCAAACACACACACACACACACACACACACACTACCAGGATGCATTATTTGCTGGGGTAACAATAGCAGCTTTTCCAATCACTGTCAAGTGTTTGTGCTCTTGCAAACTAATTCAACCCAGGCTTTGAAGCAAATTTTGCTGGGAGACATTCATAAAAATGGGCAGCGAGGCGTCATGGCTGTTAAGCAAGGCACTCATTGCCTTTTCCTTTCTCACTCCTCATCAGTCGCACAGAGCAGCGGTGTGAGGCTCCAGGTGCTGACAGGTCCATTTCTTAACAAGCATCAAATAGGTTTTGTCAAGCATCGTGTGACTCATTGGCTGAGCACTCGCCACGCAGCGCATTGGCCTGATGCTGTCCCACTTTCTCCGACACGAACATGGAAATGTTGACTCAGACTCACTAGCTAACCCCCTCCTCTCTCATCCTGTCTGGCTTTGGGAACACAGAGAGGGACAACCAAAATTGCTTATTAGGGCATAAATCTAATTCAGTTTGCCTGCTTCAAACAATGCCATGATCTGCTGCAGAGTGTAGCCATGCATGTGTATGCTCAGGAGTCTAAGTATGCATGCTTATTGTGTGTATGTGATCCTTCCTGCCTTTGGGTATGTCTGTGTCGTTGGATGAGCCGGGTTGAAGCAATGCACCTCTTCTTTGATCCGGTGCCAGCGTCTCCTCAGTGCTGCAGTGTGATGCACAACCCAGTCAGTCTCAAAGTTATCACAGTTTCCCAGACTCCCTGTGTGCTCACAAACACTTTGACACACACAAGTCAAAGGTAGAGACTTCCTCAAAACACTGGGGCTGAGTGGTGAATATGAAGATTAACAAGACAATGTTGAAGCGTGTGGTCATATTTCACTGAAACGTATTACACCTGAGAAAGATTGAATGTGGAGGGTTTTCCCTTTAAGCACTCAAGAAGAATCAGTTAGTAATAGGGATAGAAATTGCTTACATTTTATTAATACCAATGTCATTATCGATTCTGCTTATCAGTTTGATTCTTTCTCGATTGTCTACCTGATTCTTGATAAATGAGTGAAAAAAGTAGGCTTCTACCAATGTTGTTATCTTTCTTTGTAAATGAAGCCACACTTTGGACAGTTTTTTTCTATCCACCATGACTCCTTCTTGTTCCATTCTTCCTTCAAGTTTCCAGCAGTGTAGATGCACAAGTCTGACGTCAGAAAAACATGCTGGTATCATTAAAAGAGGATTTAGTGGCATCTTGTTATCTGACAGTGAAGAAGATTGCAACCAACTGAAACCACTTGCCTCAACCTAGCACACAGAAGAAATTATGGTCCCTGGCAAAAAAAACAGTATAGAGCCAGTGTTTGGTTTGGCGAAACTATTTTCAGGTGATTATACACTAATGAAAACATGCCTATGAATATTATATTAATTATTATTATTATATTTCTGCCAATAGATCCTCCTAAATAAGTGGTTCTCAACCTTTTTGGTGTCAAGGACTCCCAAATCGATACACATCAGGCCACTGACCTGTTTTTGATTGAATCCACAGGTATCCCTGTCTGTTAAGATTTAGTTATTCCATAAGTGTCTAAACTGTAGATTGGCAGATTTACAGTAAAGTGTGACACCTGTGAACAGAATAGTAATTCATATACATTAGTTAATTTGGCTAACTTCTAGTCAGTGAAATAAGAGTGCGTGAGCCTGGACCACAAGTTGAGAGTCACAGTCCACAATGTTATACACTGGACCTTTAATAGGTTTTTTTTTAATCAAGACAGAGTCATCCGTCTGGAGAAGGACTGAATCCCTGCCATTGAGATCATGGTATATCCTGGGAAGACTTGCCAAAAACTGCTACCATTTCCCATGAAGAATGTCATTAGAAACTTGGCATTTGGTACTTGGCATATTTAGCAACTTTGTACGTCATCATTCACCTATGTGCTGGTCTCCAGCACAACCGCCAGTGACAATCCTTGATATGTTGGTTCCCATGACAAACTCTCATTCATTCTATTCCAAATCAGAGAGCACAGCATTACAACTTAACAACTAAGCATCCAACATTCACTCAAACACAAGTATAGAAAATCCAGGATGTAGACAAAGTAGACAAGCTGCCAGAAAAAGTAGAAAAAAAAGCCACAAGGCTCCTCTCCCTGAAATCTATTTTACCCTTCTAAATGTCCTTCACATTATGCATATTGCATGCCAACAAAGAACCAAACACTGCTAAAGGCAGAAAGTGTGGTTACCCAGTGCTCATATATAAATTAATATCTCTATAGCTTGGTAACCTTCCTGGCTGAAATTTTGCTTTTACAGTATCATGTTTGGAATTAATAAATCATGCATTTCTTCTGATTTCAAGACAAGCAATCATGGAGTTTGATGATAATAAATGGGTTTAATTATCTACTCCACACAGCACTTTATGATCCAAACTGTGGAAGGCAGACGGAGCTGCTACGTTTATGTTATTTTCTCCCAAAGCCTGTGTGATAACTAATTTAACACTAGATTAAATAAATTGTGTTCAAACAAATTGCCACACAAGCAAACCTAAAGCCAGCTAATATTTAATGCACAGTGAGTAGAGTCCCATAAGGTTTAAAAAAGTGTTGTTTTTCTAATCCACAGTTTCTGACCAGCTGCAGGTATTATCAGATCGTACACACATTTTACTCAGTATCTAATCTTTTCAAATATGTTTTGCTCAACTGCAAATGAAATCACACGCAGTCTAAAATCTCTCTGAGGATTTAGGCTCACTATATTTTCAGCACTGCTCTCCTTTGTAGTGTGCCAGTATATTTGTTTTTACAGCCTCACTATTGTGAGAACAGCCATTCTGCCTCTTTACAATTCAAACTGCTTATAACTGCCAATGGGCATCATTACAGTAATTAGCCTTCCAGTAGTGATCTGAATGAATCAGCGCAGAATTATTTTCTACTGGCAACAACAGGGAGAGGCAGTCGGGAATGCCACCCACTGAACATATGATGAGTAGGATGACCATAAAAGAGACACCCTTGATCAAGGTAAAATGATTAATGCTATTTTAGTCTTTAAATCCACAACCAACTGCTATTTTAAAGTGGCACTTGATTTTACCTGTCACAGTCAGTTTGTTGATGGGGTGCTAAAGGGGCTTTGTCCACTCTCAGAAATAACTCAAATGAAATAGGAAAAAAAACTGGAGGCGTGGAGTGTAGGACAAAGGTGTGTCCAGTGTTTTTAGAGCTTGAGCCACAGCAGCTACTAAACATGAGGACATCTCATTATCTGCTGCCTCAATGTCTGCAAAACATATTTTTAAAATGATCTTAATATTTTAAGTGAAGAAAATAACTGTACAAACCAGGTCCACTTATTAATAAGAAACCTATCAATTACATATTGGAGAAAAGTAGAGTATGAAGTGAAAACCTTCACGTGTATAATAGATAAATAAATAATTGACAAAATGGTTTTCCTAAACACATTTGAAAAACAACATTTACACTGAACCCCAAAACTGTTTCTGATACTGTACAATCGGAGTATGAAATGTGTGAATGTGCTTAGTTTCCATTTCTGAAGATACATTCTTCTTTTTTTTTTCGATTTCTGCCATACAAGTTGGTACCTTGTATGGCAGCCTCTGCCATCAGTGTATGACTGTGTGTATTGGTGAATGTGATGTAGTGTAAAGCTCTTTTAGTGATCAGAAGACTAGAAAGGTGCTATATAAGTAATGGTAATGGTAAATGGACCTGTACTTGTATAGCGCCTTTCTAGTCTTCCAACTCAAAGCGCTTGTACCCTTTCACACACATTCACTCAGTGATGGCAAAGTCCATCGAACAGAAACTAACTCATTCATACACATTCACACACCGATGCTATGCATCGGGAGCAATTTGGGGTTCAGTATCTTGC